CCTACCGTGAGGCTAGATACCTCAGGCGGCTTCCTCCGAAGCCCGTGGAAGAACAGGGCCTCGGACTTGTGCAGAGCCACCTCGAGACCCAGCCGCCGGATTCGCTCAACGACTTGGGCAACCCCGGCCGTGGCCCTCAGGGTTGCCTCGTGGTGCGTCTTGCCGCGCGCCGTCACGAGCGTGTCGTCCGCGTAGCACACGACGGCGACACCATCCAAGAAGGCACCACGAAGCACCCAGTCGTAGCCAATGTTCCACAAGAGTGGCCCTAACACCGACCCCTGCGGAACACCGCACGACATTTCACGCCTAAGTACTGTAAGCTCCTAGTTGTATTTTTTTCTTCAAACGACAAAACTTAAAAGGCATGCCTCGTATATTCGCTTTTCGGAGACCGGGGGCGATTGGGGCCTTGGGCACGGGCTCCGTGTGCGCTTATAGTAAAGATGGATGGTTTCACGTGATGGAAAGTAACTATAGCCGCTCATGAACGCCTGCAACTCAAGAGTCACAAGCGGGTTGCCGGCCTTTAAGGTAACAGATCACTCTTTTCTTGAAGGTTTAATACCGCAGACGATCATTTGTTCCACAGATTGGTTGTGCGAAGCCCAAAGCCAACCCCTAGTAGCATAGTTGTTATTCCTGAAATTGGAAGAAAAAGACTATCATTTCAAATGCAAGAGAAGAATTAGTTCCGCCTTAGTACTTCTAGTTTTTAATAAAAAAACCCTCTGAAATTTTACTTTGAGCGCCTCATGAGAAGTGAATAATATATTTTTCATTTTGTGTTTATAGCTATAATTTTTAGTATTTTACCTTTCCTTTAAATTAAGTTTTTCTTAGAGTCACTTAGTTGACCTCGACCTGGTATTATCCGTTAATGCATTTTTTCTTTGCGTGGAAATCCCATGGGTCTTCCTCTGGGGACAAAGGTATTCTATAGAAGCCTAGTATTGCTATGAAATTATTACATTGCTCAATTCAGAAAGAGTATTTTTTTTTCTTGAACATCTCTCAGCCGCTCAGTGACAATTTATTTACTGTTATAGATATCGCAAGATCAGGATCAGGTTACAGAAATATCTATAGTTTGTGTATCTCAACTCCAGTAAGATTTATGCTATAAACTAACTATTAATATGAACGTGGTTTAATAACATTAGATAACAGACAGACATATTATACTCGTACTCGTAGTTATCATTCCAGAAACAGGCTTGATATTGTAGCACGAAGTTTTCAGTATTCTGATCTAGAAGGAGTAAGGGGGGAGGGGGGTTAGGCTCCCAGTACTTCATGATATGGTCGCCTGTTTATCAGAGATTCTTAGTGGCCTCATTGTTATCCCGAATCCCCTGCTACCCTGGTGACTTGTGAGTTAGTACTTATTTAAAAAAACTGTGTGGTTTTATTCGATACGTAGTACGACATACCACTCCACAATGGTGCAAAAAAAGACGTGTAAAGTTTACAACTTTATTACATGTAAAAGATTTATTTATAGGCAGAGCTTATAAATAAGTACGTATGTACTATGGTAATCAGACTGCTAATAAACATTACTTAGGTATATTTATTAAATATATACCTATATAATATCAATAAATTACACTCTGACACGGAACAAATAATCGTGCTCATGAGACAACTATGATATATGGCTGAGAATCGAACCCACTACCTCCGGCTTAGCAGTCAGGGTCACTATATACCACTAGACCACAGGCCCGTCGGTATTATTTGAAGTGGTTTACAAATGGCAACGATGTATAAGAAACCTATCAAAATTGAAGTCGGTTAATAAGATTGTTTAATAATTACGGTAAAGTAAAATCCTACTTAATCTGACAACAGTTTTTTAAGGGTGGAGACGGTATTAATAAACTCGCATTGCTATATGGCTGTCCAGGGTTCGATTCCCACCCAGGACAAATATTTCCGAACACAACCTTTTTTTTTGTCTGAGTGTGCTTTCTCTGGTTGAGTGCACAAGCCGGGGGGGGGGGGGGGGTCGGCCTCCAACCCGCAGGGTCGGAGGCCGACTTACGTAGGGTAAGTGTCGTGAAAATGTGAGCATCACTGCACAAGACTAACACCCAACGACATGTAATTTCAAACTAAGCAGAGCTTGTACTATAAAAGCTAGATTGACTAATAGAATACTTATATACTTTTTTTTGTAAATACATACATATTATACATAGAAAACACCTAAACTCCAAAACGAATATTGGCAGATCATAAAAATCTTTGGTCCAACCCGGGAATCCTCGACCCTCAGCTCGGACTCGAGACCTCAGCACAGTAGTCGCATACGCTACCACTGCACCACAGAGGCAACCAATCAACTATTGTATATGCAGTGTGTGTATCTATTCTTAGGACTAACAGCATTTAATTTTTAATTGCGTTTATTATTTACTTTTTATTGATATCAAATGCTTTACAAATATTTGATGATTCTTACACTCCAACTGCTTTTAAATTCGTTAATTTATTTTCGATTTCTCCAGCAAAGGTTGCCTGCAAGAGATAGATTTTTAGCCATATAAAACCGCCATTTGCACATAATCGCATGATGTATTCCTGTAAAAAAAATTTTGGGTACAATCAAGTTTTATTTTAAGTTTTCTTATGTGTGTATTTGCTGCAATAGAAATAAAACGCAATGATATCTTTCAACTATGGCTTTATTACAAATACGTACAAAATATGGTCAATTAACATTTTCATATCTAATGATCAAATTAATTTTAAATTAATATCAAGAAGGCAATACATAAAATTATTTTAAATGAAACAGTTGTTTTTATCAAATACTTAAAATAAGGCTTACTATATTTTAATTACACTGTGTGACAATACATTTTTTTTCAATATCATTGATTTAAATATCTGATTTATCGTCATTTAGGTCTGCTAAATAGGATTATATACATGAACTTCGTGTAATACGTAGGTACCATTTTGGAGTTATAATAAATTTTAATTTCATAAATAAATAAAAACATGGTGGCAGTTTTAAATCAAATGTAATATCTGTATTTTGAATTTCATGACAAAAATAGTGATATTATATACTTGTGCGTAAATATTGAAAAAATATTATCAGAAACGCCGAAACTTAAGACTTACAGTTAAATAAACTTGTGTGTTAACCTCTTTCTATCGTATTATTAATGAGGGTACACGAAAATAATGAAGATGGCGTAACTAAGAATTGTGACATGTTGGATATTCATATCATAAGGCAATTTTGTTTAATTGAATAAATAATTCAATACACGCAATATTATTGATGTTAGAAATATTGTGTCACACAGTGTTATTGCATATTTTATCGCATATCCCTAAATGGTTCATAAAAAACGAACACGTAAATTGAATGGTCATTTTTTAATTTAAGAGCTGAATGTCGTACTTGTAACCAATTAAAAACGATTAAAAGATGAACAAGTAAATATAATCTTTCTAATTCGGCAAAATAACGAAACGTAATTATTTATGTAATAACTTAAAAAATAATCATTTTAGTTTTTCAATGCCTCATTTCTTTAATGGCTCAAATACGTGTATAGTACAAGAAATGTACTATGATGACAATGATTACCCTTCATATACCTACATTATATTATTTAAGTTTGTACTTATTTCGAAAAGTTTATAATAATTATGAATCTATCACTTAATTACTACAATTAATCATATGGCCTATCCGTTGCATCTCCTTCCATCTGCTTCTCAATATCACAGACAAAGTAAGATTTTTTTTAAAGTTCTACTAGCAACCGAAATTACTAGTATTCCCGTTAACCCCTCTCGCTAAGCTAAAATGCTTGTGTTCGGAGTGGGTTCACGTCGGTAGTGTACTGGTCAGAATTCGAACCCACGACCTCTTGATCGCAAGTCCAATGCCTTAACCACTAGGCTACCGCCGCTTAAATTATAAAGATTACCATAATTGTATCAATTTACAAATTAAATTTTTCGGTCATATAAGCATACATATAATCAACTAAGTAATTGTTACATTTGTTTTTTGCATTGTTCTGAATATGAGGTTGTATACTATCTAAAATAGTCAATTTAAATAGTCCAGCCAAGTTTGTACGCGGCTCGTGGATGGTTTTAGGTATAACTTATGAATTAAATATGAATTTCTACAAATTTTAGTCATTAATAAAATAAATAATATAAAAAAACACCGAGTAGGCACCATAATATCGCTTATGTCTAAATATAATTATCGTAAATTGGGTATTTATGTTCATTTTAATGGAACTGCTATTTATTTCTGACTAATTTATAACACAATTGTTACTGGCTCTTCACGAATGTGCAGACTTATTTAACCAGCGTACACACACAGATGATTACTTTAAAATATATATTTTGTAGAACAAGGCCTTTAGCCTAGCATGTTGGAGCAAATAGGAATAAACTTACATACCTTATAGGAACTACTTAAAAAATAATAATTATGTATGTATGTTAGCCTTTGTTAACAAATTCATCACGACCTACAGATATTTTGCGTCAATAATACGATTAGGTCGGTTAGAAGTACTATGGTCGTAACAGATCCCACCAACGATTACATACCTATCTAAAGATGTTATGTCTTATCAATCTTCAGATGTTATGTCTTACTAATCTTCAAATAATTATTGATGACTAGATCGTATTGTTTTAGATTTACTACTTTATTAAAAACTCCACGGTTTTCGCAATTAAACAGGATCGAAAATTCTTAACAAACCCTGTGTCCTACAATAATTTAAGTTTTTAAATACCTAATGAATTAAGTACATAAGTCGTTTGTGGTTCACAATAAATCTTATACAATACCTAATAAAATTATAATCATTTATCACATATCTTAAACATTATTTGGTCGACACTTCGTATGAAGAATAAGGCTGTCGGGCACTCTGAATTTCCTTGTCTCAGTTATTAAATGAATCTGTTTTGTTGAGTGACGTAGTGTAACATTAGTTATGTTAGTTGTTGTCTTCATCGCCTTCGTGACTGTGGCCGTGTGAGTGACTGTGTGGAGCTGAAAATAGAAAATAATACAACAATTACTATCCATGCCTAAAAAAACGAATATAGTTCATACCATAGGTACCTATCGCTTTGGTGCGGATCGTAACCACTAACCACAATACCTACGTAGTACAAGTTAAGGATACAGTTACTGAGTACTAAATCCAGGTTTATTACGTGACATAATTTAAAAAAAAAAAGATTAAATTATTATTGTATCGAGCTATTGATCCTATCTTTTACGGTCTAGAACAGTTTCTAACGTCTTTTTATCTTATCTTTTTCTTTTTATCTTTTTATTCAACTTTAAAGATAAATAGACTGGATTGTATTAATAAGCAGTTTATTTATCCCGTGTGTGTGCGAAATTGAAAAAGAGATTTCTTTATTTGTACATTGTACGATGTATCGGGACATTCGGATTTGGATGTTTCTTCGGACGTCTGACTTACAACGCTATCTAGTTTCAAACAAAGCAGAGCTTGTACTATGAAAGCTAGATTGACTGATAGAATACTTTTATAAAATTTTTAATACATACATATTTTACATACAAAACACTCAAACTCCGAAACAAATGTTTGCAGATCATACAAACCGAACCGGGAATCGAACCCGAGATCACGAGCAGTCGCATACGCCAACACTGCACCTGCACTACCGAGGCTAAGTATAAATAAAATGTTGTTAAGTAATATAAAATTAGAGAGGTATATTAGACTACTAAAGGCTGTTGATGACGATGATGAACAATAATAGTCCAGCATTCGATGATTAATTATAAACGAATAATTTATTGTTTATCTGTTCATATATTAGGTATACTAAAGTGATAAACAAGGCTGCTTCAGGGTTTCCGTTATCGGTATATAATCAATAAAATTAGCGTTAAAGCCGTTATTGATTACCGGAGACCTTAATAAGCAGTAGTAAAAACATGTTTGTATTTACAATAAAGGCCTATTTACCCGTCTAGTCTTATTTGGGTATTTAATACAAGTCTTATCAGTGATCTCATTTTACAATTTTTTTTCCTCGCTGAGTTCATTTTAACAAGTAATAGGGTAACAAGTATATTGAAATGGTGATGGTTGATCTTTTAAGTCTATAGATTTGGAATTAGATTGAGTACCTACTTAGACTTTTTTTTGTTAGGCCATTGTTTATCAGTTATCAGTTTAGGTACATGACATAAAGAAATTGTACTTAATATAAAAAATAGCGATATGTTGAAATGATACTTACTCAATAACTTGAGTCCAAACATGAGGAAGAATCCGACCACAGAGCCAGCGAATTGCAAAATGCCCGTTCTATCGCCTTTCCAAATTTCAAAAAAGATGACATAGAGCAGTGTTCCAGAAGCCAGACCTTGCAGTAAAACAGAGGGGAGACCGGCAGCGGTAGCACCTGCACCTCCTACTAGCAGCATACCAATACCAATTCCAATAGGTGACACTATGGCGTAGGTGACAATGTACACCATTGTTAACCAAAATTTGGTATTCGTGGCAATTAGCTCCACACTAATACAAAATGCGATTACTAATTTATGACCGGCAACGGCACCCAACATGTACCTGGAATAATAAAGAACCTTTCATTCTAGTACTTTAAAAAACAAGTAAACTATATTTAAGAAAGTGACATCTAGTTAAAAATAATACAAAACAATGTTACTTTATTTTGATGTGTAAGTTTTTGCTACTCGGTAACAGATGTCACTAGTAACATTAAGTAACTCACCAAACGCTAGAAGTGCTTGATTCTAATCCGACGGCTAAGCCTTCAAAGAGCTCGTGAATAGAAAGAGCAAGCACTATAAGTAATCCTCTGAGAGCCGATGAGACGCCATCTCCTACGTTTTCAGGCAAATGACTGTGATGACTGTGGTGAATGTGGTGATTATGATTTTCGGCATCCTAAAAAGAAATAAAATATTTTAGGTATTATCTATATTATAGCCATTATAGGTACTAAGAAAATCCATAATAAAAAATGGAGTACTGATATTGTTATAAAGAATTACTTTAAGGTTGTCCGTTGTTAAATCGATCGAACGAATTTTTAGGTCGTTTCTTAAAGGGAAAAGTCTATAAGTTATATAACATTACAAATCGTACCTTGAAGCGCATTGGTAGCTTGGTAACGGTACTGAAACTGCATGGCACTCCTACTAAGTACCTACTAGCACAATTTACCTATAGTCCATCTAATCTAAGAGGTACCGTTTGACGTTTCATACTTTTAAAGACGAAACAATTTTGTATATGCGTAACTCACACATGGACTCCATGGAGTTATGTAACTATTTTTATTATGTCGCAAGATATACCTAATAACAAAATTTAAATCTTTGAAACAAAGCCAAATAACCAATTTATAAAGTCATATTTCAAAGTCACCTAGTTAGGTTCTTTACCGTAGTGTTGCTGCTCTTCAAATTCACTTGAATACGAATAATCGTTAAAATGTAAGAACAATCTAATTTATTAATTGCGAGTAATTTCCAGTCCAGGCGTCTTGAAGTGTTTAATAATACTTATAATTCATCTGACATCAAAATCTTAACGAAAATGCATAAGTAAAATTAAAAGTATGTAAGTTAATGTAATTTTAAATTAATCTTTGTAGCCAAAAATCGCTCGTGTCCAAGTCTAGTGTATACTAAGATTTAATAGTAACACCTATGATGTGCAATTACAGGGGCTTTTATAGTGACATACATAAATATGTAAAACTGTAATCGATTAGTACATACTAAGAAATGATATCGATATCTATTAAGAATCAGATATTTTAATAATCGACTTCTTTGACCATCGCTATACTTTAATACTCTAATCTGTCATAACTGTCGAACGGTACCTCTTAGATTAGATGGACTATAGGTAATGACCTACATCAAACGATGTGTAGTGTTTTTGATTATTTGGATATGAAATATTTTGATATTATTTGTTTTTGTATAGCGCAATCCGTGTCTATCTTGATTACGGTGTGCTCGTATAAATACAGTATAACATAATGTACCTATGTAGGTATGTACCAGTCACCGGTTGGGACATGGTTGAATGGCAAACTACGCTGTAAACTTTCATATCTACACTGTTACTACTCGGTGCCAGCAATTTCATGTATATTTAAGGTCTCAGAAATGAAGTTATACTATATACGTATAGCGAATCTCCTTTCTCGATAAACAAGCTAACGAATTCGAATTATCTAAATGCTTGTAAATATTTACATACATACACTCACGTGTTTTATCCCCAAAAGGGATAGCCAGAGACGCATTAAAACGCTCACACTTTACCTACCATAATTCTAGTCCTTCCTAGTGCCTTCAACTAAGCATATATATGTATTTAAAATAAATATACTTTTATTAACCGACTTCAAAAAGGAGGGGATTTTCAAGTCGGATGTTTATATATTTTTTTTTTATGTATGTTCGGGCTTAACTCCGTCATATACGAGTATTGACGGATATTCGATATTCTTTTTTGTTCGAAAGGGGTTTATTCCGAAATGGTCCCATTTAAATTTTATATAGTTCTGATGATGAGTTTTAAAGACAGACAACGCAACTCTTCAAAATATGACTGAAAATCAACCGCGATTGCTGCTAGGTTTATCGTGCTTATGTTAGTATAGTTTAAAGTCGGTTCAACTTTGTAAAAATAGATTTATGTTTCATTTCTAAATACATACATATTACATATAAAATACACCCAGACACAGTACATATGATCGTGCTTATCAAGTTCATCATCAACAGCATTTAGCAGTCCACTGCTGGGCATAGGACTTGGGCATGGTTTTGGACTAATACGCCATTTGGAATATACTACGCTGGCTAGACGGATTGCTATAGGGTTTGTTTCAAGTTTTTCTTCTCTTTGCAGTGCTGTTGTCCTGCGTAGTTTGCTCCCTTAGTCGGTTACGGCACGGGAGGAATAGGGGAGGTAACACTCCTCCGTATTCTTAATCCGTCATCACATGGAAAAGTTTTCAGACAATATTTATTTTTATCTATTAAAACTTCTTTGCGTTGTAACAACCATCCTCTACTTCTTCTATCTGCCCAACAATATAGGGTTTGGACTTGACTTATACAATAGACTTTCAACCATCAAAATATACATACGAGTATAAACTATAATGTCATATAAAGCATAATAACCTTTTTTGGTTCAACGAGATCTGCAGTCGAATTGTTGACACTTTTCTCTGCGTTGATTGTGATGCCATTTCGACTTTCCCTCACACTTAGGTTCCTGACCAGGGGCGACGTCTTGCCGTTCCTGCGCTCTCTGTGGTGGATGTACATGTGTACCATCTCTTCTACCAAGTACATGATGAAAAACCCGGAGCATGTTAACAGGGGGGTCAAAGAGAAGCTGAACTCGTTCAACACACCGTCCTCTGTAAAAGAAAATTATTAACGTTAATACCTATCTGTTGAAAGATTCTAACAACGAATTATCTGTAGCGTAAGTATATTTATTAACAAGCTCTAGCTTTTAAAAACATTTCATACTTAGAATAAAAAACCAAATTATATGGAGTGGGATGGCCCTATGTGGAAAGTCGGTTTATCCGTTGGATAAAGTGAAACCTCCTTTCTAAGGAGAGGCCTATGTCCAGCAGTGGACTATTATAGGCTGTTGATGATGATTGATAAAAGTGAATCAGTGTGAAACTCGCCGTACAGTGCACACATACAAAAATTTAATAGATATATGACGGACTAGTCCCTTTAACTGAGTTAGTTACTCAGTCTCAGTCTATAGTACAGTAGCTGCAAAGGTTTATTTCCATTTAATCTTAATATGTCCATTGTCTGCTCATATATCTTAGTATGTAGTAGCTGCTGCTATATATTTTAGTACAACTATTTAAGACACAACGTCTGAAATAGTTTTTTTTTTTTTTCATGAAGTTCTTGTTCCCAACTATGTAAGCCTTCCACAGATTTTATTAATGAATTATTTACTTGAATAATTGATCCTCCCATATATACACATTTATAGGTGTAATTCATATTAATTATTTAAAACTGACCAAGGAACAACAGGTTTCTCAACCTAATAAACAATAATAGTTAAATGTATGTACTTGTAAGTGAGTTATATACTTGTTTAGCTACTTGAATAAATAATTTCGGACGATGTACTTTTCGTGACTTGGTGTTCGTGTTACTTAAATATTAGTTTGTATACTCGGCATTAAACGAAGGATGTGCTATAAATGCATCTTTTATACATTTACGTACCTATATTAGCTTGTTTACGAAACAACGCGTTGCGTTAATTGTTTACGGATGTATTGGTTCTTTATTCATCGGAAGGTAGGCAGGTAGGTACTAGAATTCCCTAGTCAAGAAACGTCCATCTTATAATACCTACTTACTACTGTGTATGAAGAACGGTATTAAGTAGGGGAATTAAGTAGGTTTGTTAAAGTAGATTAGGTTACCTAGGTATACCTATTGGATTTGAATGAATAACTTTATACTTTACATGCTATTTAAATTGAGTGGGTAATGACACAACACAAGAACTTTATATAAATGATAGTAGACACTGATAAAAAAATCATGATAAAAAAAGAAAGTGTTTAAAATTGTTAGGAGCTATATTGTCTGTAATACGAGTATAAAATTTTGCAACCTGTAAACTTCCTTTCTTCTATATCACTGTTACTGTTAACTACACTGGTAAGTGTAAGACTTTGAGAATAAAGAATCTTTATCCGTAGTTTAATAAACGGGTACCTACTTTACAGCAGGAACGAAACGACTTCAACACACATAATATTTTTATTGCTTATATTTTTAATACTTACACAAAAACCTCACAAAATCTTTATACAAAAACGAACAATATACTAATTTGATGAATTACGAGTATAAACAAATATTTGTTCGAACTAGACAGTAAACAGTTAATATATAGTTATACAATATCTATACATAATCGATATTATGCTATATAATATATATATATATATATATATAGTATATATATATAATACTAATGATAAAATCTGAGGTTCGCACGAAATTACGTAATATGAAAAGGGTAAAACGAACATACTTATAATAATATATTTATCAAAGTTTTTTTTTATTAATTCTATTAATTAAATTTATTTGTTTTTTTTTTCATTACATATATTTTATATTTTTTATTAGTAATTATACTTAATAAAATTTTATATGTTGTGTTCTATTGACCAATAATTAGGTATTGGTCGATAGATACGAGGGGTGATCAATAAGTAATGATAATCAATATGAAACAGAACTATTAGATTAAAAAAAGTATTTTATTTTTCAACATAGTCTCCTTGCAAGTTAATACATTTAGTGTATCTTTTTTCTAAGCCCATGATTCCCTTAGAAAAAAATTCTTTGTCTTGACCCTCCCAAAATGCCTCTACTGCGGCCATCACTTCACTATTGTCCTCAAATTTGTTGCCCCGGAGGTGTTCTTTGAGCCGAGGAAAGAGATAGAAGTCACTGGGAGCTAGATCTGGCGAATAGGAAGGGTGTTCGAGCAGTTCGAACCCCGTTTCTTCAATGGCAGCCATCGCAACTGCGGCTTTGTGAGCCGGGGCGTTGTCTTGGTGAAACAGCACTCCAGCGCGCAGTTTACCGCGTCTTTTTGACTTAATAGCTTCTCGCAATCTTCTTATTTGGCCTGCGTAGTAAGAGCCTGTTATAGTGGCCCCCTTTTCCAAATATTCCACCATAATAATTCCTTCTGCATCCCAGAAAACAGACGCCATAACCTTTCCCGCTGAACTTGACACTTTGAATTTCTTCGGCGTTGGTGAGGAAGCTCGTTTCCAAGTCATTGATTGTTGTTTGGTTTCGGGATCAAAGTGGTGGATCCAGGTCTCGTCCATGGTCACAAAACGCGACAAAAAAAATTCTTTATCGGCCTGGAACTTTTGAAGATTCACCCTCGAAATGTCGACTCGTTTCTTTTTTTGCTCGTCGGTTAACATTCTCGGTACCCAACGCGCAGAGACCTTTTTCATATGCATTTTGTTGACAATGATTTTTTGAACGCTGCCATAGGAGATCCCTGTGACCTCAGCTACATGCCTTACGGTCACCCTTCGATCGGCCAACACGATATCTGCCACTTTTTTGACGTTTTCTCCAGTAAGGGACGTGGAAGGGCGTCCCTCGCGATGTTCATCTTCAGTGGAGGTTCTGCCCAGCTTAAATTCCTTTGCCCAGCGTGCGACTGTGGAATATGGAGGAGCAGACTCCCCCAATGTTTCCTCTAAGTCGCTGTGTATGTCTTTGGTAGACATTTTTTTCAGGCAGAGGTACTTGATGACAGCTCTTATTTCATTTTTCTCCATTTTGATGTTTTCTCTTCGACAGTTCGTATTCAAATGAATGTATCTCCCGGTAATGGTGTCCTATTTATACATTTTTTTGAAGCTGAAGTAGTGGATATATAAGCAAGCAGAAAAAAAAAAATTTGGGTTTTTGTGCGTTCTAGAAATACTCGATTATCATTACTTATTGATCACCCCTCGTAGACTGTTTAACAATTAAATTAGTTTTATGGATTCATCAGTTTCAATTTATTGAGATAATTAATGATATAAACTTTTATTTTTATTATATGAAAAACAAACAAACCCTTAGTTTGTATTTCATTACATTCTAGTTAGACTAGCTGGTCGTCAAATATGAATTTTCTATTAAAGGATTTTTCACTATTTTAGCCTTTTGAATACGTAATATGTATATCTAACATAATAATTACATTTTTTTCTGCATTAAATTTTAATAAAACATAATATTATATTCAAGTACAAAGTGGATAACATGTTTATACAAAAGAAAGAAATACTGGTAAGCAGCTTTTTTTACGTTGGCTGTTACCTAATTTTCAGAAATTAGATTCTAACTGTGCTATTAATATTTATTTATTGAAAGCGGTGGAATGTCATAGGCATTATCTACCTACCTACATACCTAAGTTGGTGTGAAAATGGATATGGATACACTTTGGTTGAGAATTTTAAAGTAAACATTAAAATAACGAAATAATAAGAAATACTGTCTCTCAGATAAGAAATGAAAAATATATGTACAGGCATGAAAATAGATGGTTTATGTAGTAAGTACAATAGAAGTTTTAATATAAATGCATAAACTAGCTGTACCCTTCAACGGTTTGCTGTCTCACATTTCGGAAGTGAAAAATAGATAAAAACCATCATAAAAGGATTTGCATTTTGAGTCAAAGTTTGAGCTCAATCGGTGCAGAACTTTTGCTGCAGTTTTTGAATACAAACCAACACAACAATTAATATTATATAGACTTAGTTAGGTTTGCCAAAAAATTAACATACTAATTTACAGACGAAAATGGTAGAATAAATAGTTATTATCCTTGACCTATCCGCTATTTCGTAGATTCTTATTTTTAGTCAGGATTATGAATACGTCTATTCTCGACAACATCTAGACGTTCATCCACATTACGTGTTTAAAAGTGGTATAAATAACGCATATACTACTGTGCGTACTTACAATATGCAACATATATGTATGAAATAAACCAGAATGTTACAAAAGATCAGGTTTTGCAAGTTTCCGAAACAGTAAAACGTTGTGAATTCACGGAATATACATCTGAGTACACAATTTGCGGTGAATAAGTTACGCGAGGCAAACTAGAATTAATCATGTACCACATTTATACCTCTCGATATAGGTACAACAGGATTAAGTCATATCTACGATATTATGTCACTAATATAATATTGTTCCTTGTCAGAACAGGTTGAAATAAAACTAGTTATATTATATTCCATTGAACTTTATAACATCTCTGACAATGTATTCAAAGCACAGTAAAAAACATCTGGTGTATTTGATTTAAGTATTAAACAACACTCATTTTTTCCCTTTGATTTACAGTTGAGTTACTGAGATTTCAGGCGTTTGTCATCTTTATCCCGTTAAAAACCTTTTACAAATGCTCATTAAAGTACACTTTTTGTTATAGCATAATTAAAAAAAAGAAGAGAATCGCAATTTTAACACAACATAAACTTTCTACATTGTTTTTTAACAGAATGGACAAAATGAAACTTAATATGTTTTGTATTTTAAGAACAGGTACCAATGAACAGCTGATTTCCCTGTCTTATCTTAAACCACCGGACACCATTGCACAATTATGGATTGTACAATGGAGTCCGGTGGTTTAAGACCTGACATCAATTAACCTCCCTACTAGGTCCCGCTTAAAAATAATTACAATCCCTAGGGGTGTTAGTATCAGGTCAAAACTCATGAGACACATTGAGTCGAACGCAGATTAAATTGTAAAAATGGCAGGAAAATGATAATAATAATGATTATAACCATTATTATCATCATCTTT